AGGAAAGATACTGGGCGGGAGAAATTGCAGTTAATATTGTTGATGGAGGCTTACCAGCAATAAAGTCTTCTAACTTTAGTCCTGGGACTTTAATAAATGTTTTGGAAATATTGTCACCTAACCTTGTGGAGCAGAAGGAAACATTGTATGACATTTTTAAATCATAATGCTTAAAATCTTTGCCCTAATAACTTCAAGGATTTAAGTTTTCATCTAACACACAATCTGATTCTGCAAATGACACTGTGTGAAATTATGTCTTCATGAGGAGCATGGCGCAGGGTCAGGCCTGTGAAAGCTTCACGTGTGTTCTTCAGACCATCTGGGTAGTACTTGCAATATAATTGTTAAATGAAAAGTGTGTGCTAGAGCTTGATTCAGTTAGTGTGTGATCATAAGAGACTGAAAGGAACAAATGGAGCTGTGATCTTAAAGATACTGAACTGCTGGAGTGCATTTAAGCCATCCTCGTGCAGGGCCATAAAGTGATATCGGCTGCGTTACCTTTTGCATAGGTGGCACTGAGCGACTCTAAAAGATCGGTTTACATGCAGACAAACATTTAGGTACCAAAATTCATTAGGAGAAGAGTCACTGTTTCCCCTTGTACATGTTGCCCTGTTGTATAAAGAGGTTATTTTTGTAGAACCTAGAAAATTCTCCATAACCCATTGCAGGCTGGTTGTGAAAGCAACATGTAACCTGAGTATTTGCATTTGCTAAAGAACATCTTGCTTTTATAGGAACCATTGAAATCTCAATGGGGGGAAAAATTTCTTCAGCTCTAGGGTCGATCTGTGTATCAGAAGTTACATCTTAGTACATGTAATTTCACGGTGGTTGACCATCAGGTTAAAAATAGTCTTGTTGACCACACACAGTGTAACATTTTCTAAATTAAAATTTAGCAGTGCCGATAGCTACAGAATTATTTGTTAAAGTCAGTGCTTATAGACATCAGAAGCTAGGGGGTGGACTTAAGTTGTTAAATAAATCAGTCCTATGGAAAAGACATACTTTTTTATAATTGTATTTCCCAAATACCATGAGTGCTTGACAATTATTTTTAGCTTCATAAAGATCTGTAAGTTTTCAGGGAAAAAGTGAAATAGTCTTCTTGTCTTCTTTTTTCCTTTCTTTTCCTTTTTTTTTCCTTCCCCTTTTCAGAAATTACATGGCTTACTGAATGGATGGTAGAATGGTTTCAGCTGGTATACTGTGCAATGAAGTCCGTTTTAATCGGCTTCTAGATTTTCTTGCTTTTGCTGTAAGGACAATGAAATTGTCGGAGGGGAGAAAAGCAGTATCTGTATTCTACAGATTTCTAAGCATAGTTGAAACATATGTTACAGCAGTCAAGTCCAATAGAGGTAAAACAAAAACCAAAAACATGGAAATTGAATGCTAAGAAGAGACTTCCATAGTTGGGAATGCAATGCTTCGCTTTCATTGTAGCATTTACATTTTTTAACACATGCATACCTTGCTGTGAATTAACAGCTCTAGTTGGATTTTTGGGGGGTTTCTTTTTTAAAGCATAAATACCAAAGTATAGATTTCCAATGCTCATATCAAAATTCACTGTAACTTGGTAACTTGGTGCTAGGCTAGTACATTTTGTCTGGAATCATCTTTGGAGAGAAACACTGCATATGAGACATTTGCATAATCCAGGATCACCAGGTGTACGTGTGGGGTTTTGAGGGGGAGTGTTTGGTTTTTTTAAGCATAACCATGCAGATACTACTGTGATCTAATTCAGAGGACATGCTGTGACGAGATAGTTGTGGTGCTATAATGACTTTTAATGCTGTTTGCCCCTCTTCATCATTGACTTTTGCCCCTCTTCATCATTGACTTTTGCCCCTCTTCATCATTGACTTTCCATATGTGACTGCTGGACATGGCACATAGAATCATAGCGTGGTTTGGGTTGGAAGGGGCCTTTAAAGATCATCTAATCCAACCTGCCTGCCATGGGCAGGGACATCTTCCACTAAACCAAGTTGCTCAAAGCCCCATCCAACCTGACCTTGAACACTTCTAATGATGGGGCATCCACAGCTTCTCTGGGCAACCTATTCCAGTGTCTCACCACTCTCATCATAAAAAATTTCTTCCTTATATCCAATCTAAACCTCTTTCAGTTTAAAACTGTTGCCCCTTGTTCCAACCCTACAGGCCCTGGTAAAAAGTCTCCCTCCGTCATTCTTCTAAGTGCCCTTTATATACTGAAAGTCTGCAATATGGTCTCTAGGGAGTCTTCTCCAGGCCAAACAACCCCAACTCTCTCAGCCTTTCTTCATAGGAGAGGTGTTCCAGCCCTTTGATTATTTTCGTGGCCCTCCTCTGGACTTGCTCTGACAGGTCTATGTCTTTCTTGTACTGAGGGCCCCAGAGCGGGACGGAGTACTCCAGGTGGGGTCTCGCCATACAAGTCTGTCCAGCTTGCTGGTGAAGACCCTCTTGTCCCACTTGGTCAGGTGAATCTCATCAGCTCCCAGCAGACCCAGCTTCTCAAAGGTAGATCCGTGATCATAGAAGCCAAAACATAAGTGTTCGCACTCCAGTACATGAACCATATTTGGCATATGTCATTGACCTGGCATCACACTAAGTGCTCTGAAACGAGTTATTTTTTTTTATAATATGAATTACATTTTTTTTTTTTTTTGGTAGGGGAAAGGAGTTCGGGCACTGCAGAAGCAGTGCAGCAGTTGCAGTATAGTTGTGACAGAGCACATGAATTGTGAGCTAGGTCCTGTTGTGTGTAATCCATTCTCCTGGCATAGTTCAATTACCTCAGGTGTTTGTAGAATCACATCTTTCTTTTGAATTGCTGAGATTCATCACTTGCATGGGGAAATGTTGCATGGGGAAATGTTGCGTTATCAAGACATCTTCTTTTTTTGCTTAGTTGTGAATAGATACCGTTGCTTTTGTCTCACAGATTATCTGCTTGCCCATATATTGATTTGTGTCCTCTAATTAAAAGAAAAATCTTAACCATTACTGGTTAAAAACAAGCAATTACAAATAAAACTGGTTTTTTTCTGTGGTACATCCACAGAATCATGACCTTTTCCTGGATCCTTCTTGCTTGTTCAGGACATCACGATTGAACAGGGACAGTGTTGCTTGCTTTCACAAATGTTAAGACTCCAGTGTGTGATTAATGGAGAATTTGTAGATATTTATTATAGTACTGCAAAGGTGTTCATAGCATTTCATCATTGTTACAGTAAGAATGGCAACTTTTAGAAGATCTTTAACTTTTTTTTTCCTAGTCTGTAGTTTTTTTTTTTTTGACAGCATAGTCTTGTAACGACCAAAGTGTAACTGATAGCTGAAAAGAGTCAAGCAAATTTCGGGTAAAGATTGGAGTATAATCAACCAATCTCATGTCTCTTTGAGAGATCTTTCTCTCAAAGAAAGAGTAGGTAAGGAGTTCACCAAGAGAAATAATACCCTATTCCTAGGATTTACTGCCTTGTTAGTGTTTTCTAGCAGGGAAGTATTTCCATAAAATATCCGCAAGAAAAGTAGCGTGCCCGTGCTTGCTGTCCTTCAGAAAATTTCTGAGTCGGCAGGATGGGAACCAGATGTATGGGAGAAGCGGAAGCATAATGATGGGCAGAAAATAATAAAAAAGTGCAGATGTGCAGGGAGAGAGAACAGAGATCTTAAGAACTAAAGCATAATGGAGGAGATGATTCAAAATGCATTATGGAGAGGACATATATATTTTGGACTTAAAAAATATATATGGAAAAAATGTTACTATTCCCTAAGCTCAAGTGACCTCATTTTAGACTTGCTTTCTTTTTGTTCCCAAGAGGACGTATGCCCAGACCTCTGTAGGAAATCTGGCTGCCAGCTGGCACAGCACCTTTCAAAGAGACCTAATTTTATATTTCCAGAACCTGGCAATATCAGCCACCTCCATCTGTAATAGGCTGCAGTTTGTAATATCTGTTAAACTGCATTTTAACATTTAATTTTAAGTTTCTTTGCCAACCTATTAATAAGGGCCAGGCTATTGAGAGCTGTCAATAGGGCCAAAAAAAGTGTTTTAATTTTGTGAGATCTGTGGGTTCAGGCTTTTGTTTTTCATGAATTTACATCTTTTGGCAGGCTCTAGGATATTAACTTGTATGATGAAATATCATCTTCCCCATATTTTAAGTCTGTATTGAGAGGAGGCTGGAATAAATCCTTTGTAGCAATAGTAGAAATCTGCCATATTAAATTCAGTGTTAAAATTGGAGGCCAAGTTACTTGGAGTACTGGCTTTAATTTTTCTGGGATAGAAATCAGGAAGTATTGAGCGCATCATCATATTATATAATGATTTGTCCAGCTAAATAGAATTTAATGTGGATAGCGAGGGAACAGATTCAGTTCTCTTGCTTTGGCTCTACCTGCTGCACCAAAATTTTCAAGACGTCTCTGGCCAGCTTGGGGAGGGTGCCTGGGGAGCTCTCTTAGTAGCAGGCAGAGCTGCTCTTGCAGAGTTCAGGTGATGACAGGCGGCCTGTTTGCGTTAATTTAATATGAGGAAGAAAGCCGCCTCAGATCCAGAAGAGGGAAAATGGCCACTGCCGTGTGGCAGCCACTGGTTCAGCATGGGTCTGCTTCAGTTTGTGCTAATTGTAGCTCCCAGCTTTCATTGATTTCAATCTGTCTTAAACCTTGGCAGAGTCAATTAGTTCTTGTAATCACTAGTAACCAATATTTGATATTCATATAAGTCAAACTGAGGAAGAAAATTTATTTGTTTTGGGTATAATTCCAGAATACTTTGTAGAATTATTTGCATTAGAAGAGAAAACAAATATTTATGTACAGTAATAGTGAAATACTGCACCCAATGCTTAATTGAGATGGATTCTGTAGTGTATAGCTATAGTGTTGAAAACATTATATAACGTTGTCATTTATATGAAATTTATTAGTGTTTCTTTGAATTCCTGTTAATATATTTTCTGGGGTTTTTTCAGCTCTTCGTTGTAGCCTCCAGTTTCTTGGAAACATTGCAGCAGGAAACGGAGATTCCCAGAATAGCATTTGGAAGTGTGCTTTCCCAGATCTCTTCTTGTAAGCATGGATGCGGGTTTTTTTAATAATGTAATTTCTGTGGTTATATTCAAATCTTTTGTACACGGTAGTTGTGCCTCTACTAGCACCGTGAAGCTTTGAAAAATAACTTTGGGGAGAATGGGACGGTTGAGACCATATCCTGTAGATGTTTTTTTTTGTTAGTCAACCGCAGGGGTCAGGACCTTTAAAAACCTGCTTGTTCTAAACTAACAGCAAATTGATTTTAACAGAAACTGGAAGAAAACCGTATTTCAAATGATGAGCTTCAAACATAAGCTTTATTTCAGAGGTGTTTTCAAGTAGTTATACTCATTTCCAAGAACATAGCTTTTTCTTTATTCACTTTACTGCTGTGCAGACCTGTCAGTATTTGTGAATCAGATGGAATCTACAAAAGTGACTTAATCTTTGTGTCTTCCAATTCTTTTGCCCCGCCCCCCCCAACCACACCAAAATATCTTCCTAGAGGTTGGGTGACATATGTGTAATGAAATACTACATAAACGATTTTGTGCAGACACATGACAATATTGTTGGTGTGTTTGGCCACATTTTTCATAGTGAGCTAGTAACAAAGGCACATTCATTCAATCTGATACTCATTCTGAGTGTGTTTTTGGAGCCCAGTTATCAGCACTGGATGTAGAAAGACCTTATGATAATAGAAGCAGATAATTGTTACGGTTTCATCCAATTCTAGATCTCCATTTAGCTCCAATTTAGCATTAGTTTTGTAAATTGCCTGTGAGTTTGACCTTCAGCTAGGAGTTGGATGTTTTTCTTTGCAGATGACTTCTATCCCTCTTAGGCAATGACAAACTCATGATTCTCTAAAAGACAGCAAAGAACAACAACTTAACGAGCTGAATGCCACTAATCTGTTTTTCCAGGGTCAGTTTTAACTTACTCTCTTAATTCCTTATTTTCTCTTGAAGGACATGCCTAACATACAGTGATGAGAAAATTGTTGCCTATTGTTGTATGGTCCTGTTCACCTGCCTTAATTCAGAGAAAGTGAGAGAACTACTGGATCCTGGGAACTTGACTGTGGCTCTCCATGTCCTGAAAGTCTACAAAGAGCAGTTGGAGTCTGAGTGGTCGTATGTATCTTTAGATTCCCTCCCCTCTGCCCCCTTAATTAGGTGCTTTTCTAGTGTAAATCTCTGTATTAAAATGTCTAAATTTGTGACACTGCTAAGTAGTAAATGGAGATATATTTAGAAGTTAGTAATTTGGTACAGAGGTAATTTTCATGATACTTTCACTGACTGTTTTGATTTCTTCTAAAATAAGACTACATTTTTGTTGAGGATATAGACAAGAATTTTAAAATCATGGTCTTTTTTTTTAATGAAATAGGGCTCTAGAATGCAAACTCATTTATACTTGTGTGCTGGTTTGTGGAGATTTTTGAAATAAAGTTAACGCAGAATATAGTCTTACAGACTTTGGTTATTGGGGCATGCTAGGAAGACTTGTATGAGTACTTGTGAGTACTACATAAAATGTGGGGGTTTTTTGCTGTCTTTTTTTTCCTCAAATCTGTTGTCTAGTGCAACATGCAATCATTTTTATACCAAAACAGAGAAGACGTTTTGTTTGTGAATCTTGCACGTTTCATTTTCATATGTTAAGAGCACCTAATCAGTGGTTTTATTCCATTGAGCTTTTATATTTTTTGCTAATAGCCGTTCTTGTAAATATTGTTATCAATTATGCATTTGAGAAATGTTCTGCCCTGCATCGGCAAGGATACACATTCAGTTAATTGTTATATGGTGCATTCCAAGGCGGGGAAAAAAGATAGTTTGTATGTTTTGTAGCATTCTTTTGAAGGTCATGTTTAAATTCAAAATTTAATTAGGAAGAATTGTCAGGGTTTTACTAGTTATTCGGAAAGTCTCTAAACAGAGTTAAGATGATTAAATGAAAAGCAAATGTCATTTAATAGTTTGCTTTTGTACTCAAAAAAATGATTTTAAAATTTGTTTGTGGCTGGGCTTTTTTCATAACCAGGTCAATTTGCTTAGGACATAGATAGTTTTCAGAAAGCAAAGTTTCAGGGTCAGGCGACCAGACTTCTATTTCAAAAATGACAAACTGAGTCTTTAGTTTTGGCATCTGTCAATATAAGCACATATGAAAGATTGCTTTTCAGATAATTATCCTTAATTTTCTTTATGTATTGAAGAGATGCTGAAATGTATTTTGACTGAGATACGAAAGCCAGGGAGAGCTGGAAGAGGTTGTCATGCTGTTAAATTTATATTTTGAAGGTAATTGCAGAATAAATGCAGCATCAAAATAAATACCGAGGTATCTATTTCCTTGATCTTTCTGGTCTGAAGTGCATTCTGTTGATGTTACGATGAAAATGTCTTATTTCCGCTATGGATGTTTGATATGGGTGGGAAATGGTCTCTCTTCAGGGTAGTCTTGAAATTCAAGAGAGGCAAACTTCTACAGAAGATATAAGACCGTGATGAAGGAAAAGAGGTGGGTAGAAAAGAGTAATCCTAGTCCTGCCATAACGCAGTTGCAGAATGTTCGCCCTCTAATTCCTCTCAGAATTCTGAGTTCTTCATACAGTAAATATACAAAAAGCATTGGAATATCTTCCAGGTGTTAAGAAAATAATACATTTGGTTTTCTTTCATAGTACTTTAAAATTGGCTAGTTAAGTCTCAAAGCTCGTTATCAGTTTTCCCAACTGAAAGAAGTAATAAGTTTGTAGTATAAGTTTCTTGGCATTTTATATAGTCGTCTTGAACCGAATTATAAATGGAAATCTTTCGATAATGTTGGCACTGTTTTCAAGTCAACACAGGTAAAGTGCATTCACAACTGCAAAATCTAAACCAAAAAGTATTGCAACAGTGCAGTATCAAGCATTGAATAGGTACTCAAACAGCATTACCTTGAAAGTGAGAAAGTCCCTTGCTAGAAAGGGACTGATTTTTCTGTCTTTTTGTAGCACTAGAGCCTTTTTGTGATTCATCTTGTACCTATTTCCCCCCATTTCTTGATCCTCATTTCATTTGTTCTTCTAATACTCCATTTCTTACATCTCCCATCTCAAGAAACACATTTACTCTCTGGTTCTCCCTCGTGTTCATCTGTTCTTATTGTGGGATAGTATTTGGCATGGCTGAGGGTAATTTAAATGGCAAAATATGTTCATTCTTCATATTAGATTTTTAAAAAAAAAGTTATTTCCATCCTGAAAGAAACAATGATATTTATGTGTCGGAATACATGTAGTATCTTTGCTCTACTTGGTGTAGTAACATTTTCATATACTTTTTTTATTTAAAAAAAAAAGATTGGTGTAAGAGGTTTGTTTTTCATATTTTCAATGGAAATCTGCTAGTGTGTACGCTTCCTTACGCAACACTGATTTAAACAAAGTCTTTTTTTTTCTGGTTTTGTGTTTTTTTTTTTTTTTCTTTTTTCTCCCCTCTTCCAGTTAGCAATAGGTCAGTGTGTTACACTAATGTAATGCTTTTATCTTAGACCATACATGCCTCTTGTGAGCCTATACTACATGGTGTATTTCTGTGTAGTTAAAGGTTTGGAAGACCCTACAAAGTTAATAGTCTTGTTTCAAGTAGAACAATCATTGTAAAGTCTTGCAATATCTTTTTTTTGCAAATTATTGAGGTTTTTTCCTGTTATCTTGGCAGTATTAACACAGCATGTATTTCATAGGCCACAAGTTGTTCTTACTTTAGCTTTAATTACAGAGGATATTCGTTTAATGCTATGAATAACTGACTACATTTTCACAAGGTACCTGCAGCTTGTATCTCAGGTTCTTCATTGCATTTTTCTATCATTTTCCCGTTTGTAAAGCATGTACTGTAAGAGCGTTTACGAGTATTACACCTGATGTCACACAGCTGAACCTCCCAGTCCAGATAGCTTTCTCTTCTTTCTAAGATATTAGAATTGGTTTGTTTTGAGGGTAGTCTTGAGTTGGGTCTGAAAGTCTGTTTCTTTTATTAGCACTAACCCTTCTACTGTGAGATAAATGTGGATGGATACAATTGTGTAATTTAATGATGATACCTTCTGTTGCTTGCTTGCTTTCTTTCCTTTTTCCTATTTCAGAGCAGCTGGAAGCAAGCCAGCCAGCTCTTGTGCTGGCTTTCTTGTGTCCTGCCTACTTGAGCAGTTTTCTCTGCCGGTTCTCCGAATTTAGGGGAAAGCTCTACTGATGCCAGCCATGTTGCATTTATTTTCTGCAGGAAACTGTTGTGAACTTTTCACCACTTTCCATTTACTAGCATAAAGCGCTGCTCTGTTCCTGTGATCAGGCAGAGCAGGCAGTGTCCAGAAATGGCTTCCTAACATGTACTTTGCTGTGAACAGAAAAGCTGAACAGTAAACAGGATTTCTCATTTTGGTAGAAGTAATGTTATTTACTTTGGCTGATGAAAGCTGAAGATTCTTGTCTTTAATATAAGAACATTTTTTTTGACAATGATAAGTGAAAACCTAAGCTTTGTCCTTGGGTCAGTGTTGTTTCTTACATGTAGTAATGCTGTCTTTTCAGGATAGCTTTTGAAATTGTGTAGGTTTGCATGTGCCTTGTGCCGGTATTAGCTATTCTTTCATTAGAGCCTTCTGTTTCTAAACATTTTTGGATATTGAATGAATTGCAGGGTTTTTTTACAATTAGGTGTGTGAAAGACAGACACAGTCATTTTGAGGATATGTTTAGAATAAGTTTGGACTCTGTGTATTGCTGCTTTTGCTTTGGTGTCCATTTTTATCATTGCATATAATCTTGCTGGTTTGAACTAATTCTTGGTTCATTACTAAAGTACTACTTTTTTTTTTTCCTCCTCATCGAGGAACTATGTTACTTTCTGATATGGGAGAGTATGCGTGAGATATAATCATGTAAAAGTGCATAAAAAGATTTCTGTCCCTTTTCTTATAAAGTCGAAGCTAAGCTTTGGACGTCTCTCTGGACTGTAGAAAAAATATTTTGTCAGCAATTCATTGAAAATTTGGAGCTTTACTTCAGCTCTCACTGAAGTACATACCGCTAGGATTGCTTAAACGAATTTACATAGCCGCGGTATTTGCAACAGAGCCAGTACTCTTGTAAAGATTTGGGTCTGTTGCGCCACAGCTAACGAAGTGCACAGCAACCATTTTTAAGCAGCTGTTATGGCATTATATGGCTCAGCTGAAATACAAACTATTCTTCTTCCAGGAGGTTATGCTCACTGCTGGACTCACAAATGACTGAAATTAAGATGTTCTTACGTTTAAAGTAAAAAATATTACTTAATTCCTGCCTACCTTCTTGCCTCTCAGCTGGAGCATCTGGTTTCGTATTACACCGAATAAAAAGTGAATGCCTCATGTGTTTATTCCTCTTGGCTGGGCTTTCTTGCTGTCAAACGCTGCTTTTAGGTGTTGAAAATCTTTCTTTGAATAACCAGGCGAGTTTTGGTTATAGGCAAAACTTTTATTCCCAATTTTATTCCCTTTTCTTTTATTGTGCACTGAAATTTATGACTTAATGTTCCTCTAAGTTAGTATCCAATGGATTCCACAAATAAACACTTAAGATGCTCAAGTTATTTTTGCAGTTGCTGCCATGAACCGTTAGGACAGAGAGAGGACATCCAGGACAAATATTTGGATTTAAGGCCATTGGCTGAACTGTAGTCTCTCCCATGGGGTCCTCACTACTCCATTCAGCTAGCATATGGGTTTTCTACTCTTCACCCATCACAGGAGGGCAAGCACATCTTTAAAATCTTTTCTTGGTGAATTTGCAATTCCTCCTCTGTTCATGATCCCACATTCATGTTTAGAGCCTGGTTTTCCATCTCCAAGCTGTAAAAGTCCTTAGGGAAAGTTCAGGAGGAGCCTCTTTCCAAGTGGAAAGAGCAGCAGTTCTAGTCTCACAGCAGTTCTATAGGGAGAAGGCTTTGTCAGAGGAAATCTGAGATTATTCTAAGCAGTTCCTCAGAGATCATTTTTTAGAAGCAGCTATTGGTAGTGGACCTTTTGCAATTCCTCTTCTGTCTTCCATAAACCCCTCTCCCGGTTAAAGAGGGCGGAGGAAACCTCTTTAAAC